GTGAACTGAAAAAGCTTGAATTATGAAAAACAACGTCATAAATTGCAAAGTGACTAGGTGCACGTTAGAGTGCCCGCAATTTATTTTTTACGGGCACGCTAGTGACGTCATAATAATAATCCGGTTTTGTTACCCGAACATATAATTTTTGTTGTCAAGCTAGATAGCGTAGATGGTAGGGCGTTTGCTCTGCATGCGAGAGGTCCCGGGTTCGATTCTCAGAAGTTGTCGAAATTTTTTTTACTTTTTTATTTCATAAATTTGTTGTGCCTTTGTTAAAAAGTGTTTTATTTTTATCGTAACATAAATTTGCCCATTTTAGTTGGGTTTTTTGCTCAATGGGGCGGGGGGGGGGCCAATGGGGCGGGGTCGGTTGGGTTGTGTTGTGGAGTTTGGGTTGGTTTGGTTTTATTACGTAACTAACGTGCCCTTAACATGTATACAGGTACAATTTATTATTATATTATTGTTGTGCCGCCAATTTTAAATTAAGCGGCACGGCAGTGATGACGTTTTTTATCTATTACGTCACTAGCGTGCCCGTAAAAAATAAATTGCGGGCACTCTAACGTGCACCTAGTCACGGCGCATAAATTGCGGAAAATGCATTTTTTAAAATCAGGTAATTTGAGGTTATGCAGGTTCACAATCCAGCCTGCCCATAGATATATTATACCTCTATTGCTCAATGGGGCGGGGTCGGTTGGGTTGGGTTGTTAAGTTTGGGTTGGTTTCGCTCACCTTTGCCCATTTTAGTGTACCTGCATAACCAAGATGACAGCCAATCTTCATAACCTCAAATTACCTGATTTTAAAAATTGCATTTTCCTCAATTCATGACGTTGTTTTTCACGCTTTTTCACTTCCACTTTCAAATTCTACGTCTATTAGATACGTGTTTTTGGCTCGCTGCATGTTCTTTTTCACATAAAATCACGGTAAGTCACTTCAATTATCAGCCCCTTTTTTTATTAAATACGCGATAATTATACAACTTTTTTACCCTGCGCCGATTGTTTATGCACTTTTACATCCCTCCACACCTATTTTTGGCATTTTGGCAACTTTCCTGCCGTTTTTCGGAAAAGTCGCTAAAGTGAAATTTTACCGAAAATAATTTATTTAAAATTGTTAATTAGGTTGAAATATATAATTATCTCTTTATTCGTTAAAAAATGTTGTCTGTTATATTTCGGCTGCTTCTCTGTAAGTTTTATAATTATCACCAACGATTAACACAATATCTATTTTTTCTTGGACACTAAATATCATCGGCATGTTAACAAGTTGTAATTGACGTTTAATGACAAATAAAATATGGCAATTTGATTCGAAATCGCGGCCAACTATGCAGCAATAAAAGTTTTCGATACTCTTTAGCCAAATTCATATTTTTTGAGAAACCTATTATACGACTGAACAAAATTAATATCTGATGGTTGCATTTTAGGTTTTAGACCATGCAGAACTTTTTATAAGGAATAACTTTTTTAGTAAAATTAAAAATAAAAAAGTTTTCCGTATGGTGCGAACTTAAGCAGAAAGCTCTGCTGCCCACGTCAGCAGATAAGACCGAGGGGTAAACCACTTAAAAATCTTAGAGACCAACGTTCAATGTTAGTGGACGTTGTTTTGAGATTTTTTTCCTTATCAGTCGTTATCAATAAGGAAAACTTGCTTAATCGGTGCTTAATAAGTGCTTAACGACGCGTTGTACATGACTACCCTTGTTATTGTTATCCTTAGCCGTTAATTCGTAAGCGTTTTTTAACTTAAAAAAATCTGTGGTTTACCCCTCGGATAAGACCTAAAGATGGTACATGAGATTGTACCGAAACGTCGTCAGACATACGACAAAACCGACAAGACGGACCAGATCCTGTTGTGGCTTCAAGATAGTTCAAAACACCATTTCCTACTAAAATCCGTTACCAAATACATTGCCGCAATGGGGCAGCACCAAAAAATGTGCTCTCAATTCAAAAGGTCATTTATAAAAGCTGTGACCCAGGAGACGTGACCTAGGGGACCAAAATTAAGGGACACACTTTAGGGGTTATTTTAACCACTTGTATTTTGGTCTTTTTCTGTAATATTTGGAATATATTCTCAACTATATAAAAAAAGGAGGATGTTATTGTTTAAGTAGGGAATATTATTGCAAGTGGGACAGCTACTTTTCTGTACTGTTGGGGAAAGTTTAATTTTTTTGATAGGGTTAAATTTAAATTTATACAATTTTGCTAATATATAGTTGCTAAATACACTTAAACCAATTGATTTCGCTTAGTAAAGTTTCAAAAGGGCGTTAAACTCAATTTTTTCTTAAAATATTAAAGTTGAGGGACAGAAAATGTACAAGAAATTTGAAAATAACCCGATTGTGCTTTATGGGAAAAAGTAAAGCTTTTATGAAGAAAAGTTAAATATTATACACAGTTTTGGCAATTATCATATATTGCAAAAACTCGAAGTGTAAAGATAAAATAAATATCAAATTGGCGCGCGCTGTTTTACTATTTGACATAACAATTTGCGCTATGTTATTAAATAGTAAAACGGCGTTCCATACCCGCCCCACGCTGAGCATTCGAGTGATAATCCGGTTTTTGAAGTCACTTGAATACTCGGTGGTTATTAAAATAAATCGCTTATTCCCAACACTAATTTTTATCAGAAGAAAAAATACCACCAATTTGCTAATTTAACTAACTTTGCAGATTTAATAATATTATTAATAACGGAGTTTAACTAATAGCAATGATGAGCAGATAAGTTTGGTGTAGTCACTCTAAAACGCTTTCTTTCACCCTGTGATTGTGTATTTTTTTTTTAATATAACAGAACTAAGGGATATAAAAGGAATATATACAGTGTGTATTAAAACGAATAGATACCCCTGCTTAAAATACCCCATAGAGACCTATACAAAATAATCTATCGGGCGCTACCGGATTCAATATGTGCATTTGTCCATGGGTTTTTCCGGATACAGCCCGATAGAAAATGTATAGGAAATTACCTATAGGCACACCATAACTTTTACATTTTCCCTATTGAGACCGATAGAAAATAACTCAAAGAAGGATATATAGGGATATCCCTATAGAGCAACCATAAAACATTTGACAAAATTTTATTAAAACCTATGGGGTTCTATAGGGAAAAAACTAATTTCTACATTTATGTGTATTTTCACCATTGAAACCGATAGCAAATATATCAATGGTGGATATCCCTATAGAACAACCATAAATCTCAACTATGGGTCCTATACAAACCGATACACCCTATAGAAACACCATACATCCCGATACAAATATCTATCGGTTTGAACAGGGTCTCTATGGGGTATTTTAAGCAGGGACACTTAAATAAAACAAGTGCCAAACCCCGCCCACTGTGGTAGGGATTGAATTATTTTTGTTTGAGAATTTATAGGTTTTATTTTTATCGAATTCGTTTGTTCTGTTTTAATGCATTTCTGCAAATAAAAACTAAGTATTTAAAATCCATTAAATTCTAGTTCATGGCGAAAATGTATTTCTTAAAAACTATACACATTTCCCTACGACAGCGTCGGACCTACTGAACAAACACAGTAGATCAAACTGCATGCCCTTGTATCTGGCTGCATGCCGCGCTGTTGCCATATGCTATTATTGTTTCCTAAAAGGGTTGTTTTTCTTATTTTTTAATATTAAAAGTAAGAAAAAAAAACTAAATCAAATTATTTTTGACATATTATTAATTTTTTTGTTATTTTTAAAGTTTCAAACAAATAAAATTGAACTTTTTATTAAATAATTATAGTCGTTCTCTTCTGATTTAAAACAACCTGACAACTATGGTTCGTAATTACGAATGGCTTGGTTTAAACCACGCCCAATTAAAGTTTGTTTCTTTTTCTCTGATCAGAATATAATTTGTCATCCTTGTCTCCAGCCTTACTTACTTGATTTTATACAGTCTGTATACATAATAATAATTGTGTCTAATAAAATCTGCTGGCAAAGCCTCATTGCGGAGGGTGTCCCTGTATAGGTAGGTACCATAGACAATGTCTATGATAGGTACCAATTTTAGAACTTCGCCAATACCTAAAAAAAAGTAATTTTAACGCAACTTGGATATATTAAGTTGTATGTTTATCCGCTAGAGGGCTTTAAAGCACCTAAAATTCTTCAAAGCAAATTACATTATTAGTTATTTACGATATAAGTGGGATAAGCGCTTTATTAACGTACGCATGCGAAATTTGCCCAACGAGTGCGTAGCACGAGTTGGGCAATTGCAAAAGTACGTTAATAAAGCGTTATCACACGTATATTGTACAATTTTTTATCTACGCCTCTAAATGAAAAAATAAACGGTAATTATTTTTGTCTAAGACTTAATTTAGGGTTATTTTGACATTTTGACTTTTTTATTTGATTGGTTAAAAGCAGAGAAAAACGCGTGCGTTAATGAACTTCTTATCTCACTCAAAATGAGTGGGATAAGAAGTTCTTATCTCACTGGCGTAGATAAAATTTATTTCATTAAGTTTTATTTTTGTAATTACTAAAGCAATTAAGATCAATTTTGTTACTTAATTATCCATTTTTATGAGGGGGTCTGTAAATTGCAAGAATCTAAGATCCTCCTAAAAATTTTACCAATTATATTCTAAATAGTTGATAAAAGTTTAGGTTCTTTTTTAAATTTTTAACTTAACCCTTTGTTAGGCGTGCGGAGGACAGTGTACTGATCTAACAGATTATTTTCGTTGCTCTACATTAATTAATCGCAAACCAAAATTTTTGGCATCCCAAAAGTATATAAATAGTAATTTTTTTCAGAGAAAAATAAGATTATTTGAATTTTTTTTAGGTTTACCAAATAATTCAAATAATCAAACTATTCAAATAATTACTCCAATTTGGTTTCGTCAATAAAACTTAAAAATATTTAAAATTTTCTATTTATTTATAGGTATTAATAATAATTATGCTTTTCAGATTTTACGATGTTCCAAGATCTTACATAATAAGCTGCCCGAAAACGGAACTGCAGTTTTAGAGGCCATCAAGTGTTATAATAACAATGCCTTCGGTGGTAGAAGAACTGGCTGACTGCAGTTCCGGCAGCGTGTTCACTCCGCTCGTAGACTCTAGTGGAATAACGATTGTGCCTCCAAGTCCAACCTCAAGACCTCTAAAGGTGATCAACGACATAAAGGTTCTCTTACAACAAGGCAAAAAGCAAGATGTCAAGCACATTCTGCGAAATAATGCCTGGCCCGCTAACCACCCAATTCGGACAAATTTATGGATTATGCTATGCACTCAACACAGCAAAAGCAAAATGGAAGAGGGATTTTATTGGGAGATGGTAACGCAAGTTTTCGGTAGCAGTGATCTACCAGATAAGCCGATGAGCTTGCCACCCTTCTTGGAGCCTAGTCACTGCCAGTCATACTATATGACTCACAAAGGTAGAAGTGTTACGGACCGAGTGGTTTCTGTATTAGGATATGCATGTCCCGATATAGTCTACAGTCCAACTATCTACCCAATATGTGCCCTACTTCTTCATTATATGTCGGGTAAGTTTTAATTTTAAATGTTATTTTATAGGGATATGACAGAAGAACATATAATATATACAGGGTGTTATGTAATTAATGTTATATATTAAAATACTGAATACCTTTTGACATAAGGAATAAAGGAAAAATATTTAAAAAAACATTTTTCCAAAGATAAAGATAAAATATGCATTAGAAGTTTTTTATATTTTTTGTGATACGCCACTGGTTACACACTTGTTTACCTCTGCACACCTGTATTTTGTGAGTACATAGATACCAACCAACAAAGTAGCTATGCGTTGCCAGATGTAAAAATTGTTACTAAAAATTTTTCTTGCAAAAAATAAATAAAAACTTAATAAATACAAAAGTTTTATGCCCTTAAAGCTCTAATACCCTTCTGTATTTATTTACTGATCCAGATATTAGCTTAAGCAATGATTAGAAAATTTAGTACCTTTGAAATTTGAAATCCATAACCACAAAATTAATTTTTTCATCAGTTCTTTTCTCTGTTTACTCAGATGAAATTGGGACCAGTTCACAGGTTAAACTTTAAACATTTAATTTGTGTAAATAAATCCAAAAGCACTTCCCTTAGTTAAGATATTTACAATTTGAAAACATAACCTAAAATTTAAAAGAAATGCACTAGATTCTGTCATAAAAGTTGGCAGATTTTGTTCGAATTTACCTTCAGTACAAAAATGACATAACCAACAATTAATAAAAACGCCAAATTGACAATTTGCATTGTTAATTTTGTCATTTTTGTAATTAAGCTAAATTTAAACAATGTTTGTCAACTTTTTTGAGAGATTTTTCAAACACTGTTGTTACCAACCATAACATAATAAATCCACCAGATTAACCTAAAGTTCCTAGTCGATCAGTGGCGTACTTTTTGGTAGGATAAAGGTTATTATAAATTATTTTTAGACTTTGGAATTTAGAAAAAAAAAGTTTCAGGTGCTTCTTTATGGACCCTAAGGAACAACCCAATTTAATATATAACATTAATTACATAACACCCTGTAATTTTATTACATTTCTTTTTAAAAAAGTTTTTTATTCAACATTTCTTTAAAATTCCTTAATTTTGTATAAGAAGAGAGACTATTGGCGCCTCCTTTTAATAAAACATACGTAATGACAAATAAAAAATACACGCCCACGTGTCACGTGGCTTCATCTCAATTCATTGTTGCGACTTTTTCCCGCCGATTTATTTAAACTTTTTTTTAACCTAATCAATAGAAAAAGTTGTATAAAACTGCAACAGTCTTTGATGCTTTTCCCGGACCGAACACACATTTTTTTTATAAAACAAAAAGTGCTAACTTCGCCGCATTAAGCCTGAATTATAGATTGCCTTCCTTCCTTCCTCCCGTAGAAGATGAACAATATAAAAATCGTAGTGCCATTTATAGATTTCCGTACGGGACAACAGGTTTTTCTATTGTTCATCTTCTACGGGACGAAGGAAGGAAGGCAATCTATAAATCAGGCTTTACGCGTTGCTAGTCTCAAGGCAGTAAGCTCCGCCCGAGGGGTAAACCACTTTAAAATCAGCGAGACTAACGTTCAACGTTATTTGGACGTTGTTTTCTGATCTGTCATTATCAATAAGGAAATAGCTATTTACATACCATGGAAGGCCTCGGGCATCATGGCGCGCAGTGCAGGAATCTCACACTTTCTGCCCTTGTAGTGTAATATACTATTCCTCCCGGGGAGGAAAAGAGGCATTTTCCTCCCTCGCTCGGGGGTGGAAAATTAAGTTTTCCAGTAAGGTAGTAGAAAAATAGTATATTACACTACAAGGGCAGAAAGTGTGAGATTCCTGCTACTATTTTTCTTACTACCTCGGCCGAAAATACGGGAAAAAATTAAATGTGTATTTATGTACCTATCTCCATTTGAAGAGCTTGATAAATAAATAACAGTAGGCCGTGAATTCAGCGGTGCCAATACAGTAAAAATAAAAGGTTGTATTTTAATTAACAAATTACTACTTTATAACAAATAAAAGTACCATTAAACACTTAAAACAACATAAAAAGTAAAAAAGTAAAAACATAAATTGTTTATTTGTTGTTATAATTGCAAAATTATGGTTTAAAACTGTCATATTTTTGTGTTTCTCATGTTGGCAGTACGAAATTTGAATGTTAAGCACACGACTAAAAAATTTTTACTCCTGCTATTAGAGTGTGCGCTTATAGCTTGACCAATGCATAAAACGTAAACTTTCTGCCGTGGAATCGGGGACGAAACAACGTATTTTGAGTCGAGGTAGTAAGAAAAAATTCTTATCAATAATAAGTTTCTCTTAGCGACGTGTTGCGCATGCCTATCCTTGTGATTGTTATTCTTAGCCGTTAATTCGTATGCAATCTTTAATTTAAAAAAAACAGTGGTTTACCCCTCGGCTCCGCTACTTTGCCCGAAAAGCCAATACGCAAAATAAGTACATTTCTATATTTTAAAAATATTCTGTTAGAAAAACCAACTTTTATTAACTATTTGATAATTATAATAACATTAATAAATTTATTCATCCTTTTTTTTTGTGGCCATTAGGCCACTAACATAATATTAATACATTTGAAATAAGAATATGGTCGCAAAACTTTCAGGTACTTAATTAAACAAGAGTTTTTTTACTTTAATTTAAATTTGTTTAAAGTCAGGTCTTTAAATTTGTTACCTAAATGGTTGTATAACGAAATACTCATACATTTGGGATACTTAAAACTACGATAATCTATATAGACGGATTTCTAAAGTGTTGGTATATCTTGGTTTATGTTTTTGCGCACATTGATTAACATCTGAAAGATATGTACGCATGGAACTGCTAGTAGTTTTTCTGCAAAGTGGCCTACATGGTGTTAAATAAAAAACGTTTTTAATAACTCTTATAGCGCGTGTTTGTAGTAAAAACACTGTGTGTTTCACAATCCCAGTCTGGTAGCCCGATTTAGAAATATTTTTAAATACAGTATCTATGTGGTAGTTTCATTTTAATGTACTGTCTATTTCTACACCCAGGAATCTCTTATGTTACCTGTCTAAGTCTTTGATTATGAGTCCACTTTTGTCATTTTTTTAAAGTTATTATAATTTTTATAAAAACAGTTTTTGTTTGATTTAATGTAAGCTTTTTACCTGTAAAGCAATTGTTAGAGTCTGCACAGCAGAGGTTGGTTGTGTTTGGAGCTGTTCTTCTATTTCGGATCTACCAAGAAGGGACGTGTCATCTGCGAACATGACAACGTGGCCACATTTTTAAAACCCTTGTAGGTCATATGCAATAAATTAAAAATAATATAGGGCGCAAGACCAACCCTTGTGGTACTTCTAAATTACCAGTTAGCATGGATGATCTTGGTCTTAAATAGTTCCAAAACCACACAAGAAGTAGTACTGTGGTTCACGAGATCGAATACCTTGCTTAGATCCAAAAAATGTAATTAGTTTGGAATAATAAATTACTATAAAAGATTAACCACCATTATTTAAATAAAATGCGATATTATAATAATAAATAATATACTAATAATAATAAACATTCGAAACGTAAACAACTGTCTTATCAGTCTGGTACATTAACTGGAGTCTGGCAAACCTACACGCTGTAAAAGTAAAAAAAATTAAAAGCAATTTTAAGTTAAAATACTGATTATATATTGATTATAAAAATTCATTTAAAGATATAAACATTTTGTGTACTATAAAATTTAATTTGTAATAGTATACCTATACAGGGTGTTCCGAAATTAGTGCACCATACTTTAACAGCAGATTCTACGTGCAAAAATAAGAAAACAGTCCCTATAAATATAGGTCGAGAAATGCCTCCTAAGGGAGCTACAGCCCCCGAAAAGGGAGCCCCTGAAGATGGTTTTTATCTAATATAAATAAAAAAGTAGAAACACCCTGTCACTTACTACATGAAACTGTCACCTGTCTTGTATTATTCTATTTTTTCCTAAACATGGCAGCCGTATTCCAAGGACCACGCGAGTCCATTTCTATGGTTGTGATTTAATTGTGAATTTTTATGCCATGTAAAATAATTTTCAAATCGATTTTATGCGAAAACGGTGTATGTTATTGAAGTTCAACAAGATGACCTTTTTTATGTGCAAAACTCTAAAATTTCATAATCTGACACCAAATTCTGGTACAAGATACGTAAAAAAAAGTTAAGGTGGTTTTAACCCTACTTCCTATCAATCTGACCCAAACCTCATAAAAAATTTTAAATTGTTATTGTTACGTCTTATTGGTCATAAAAAGTTTAATTAATTCCCCAAATTTCACTTTTATATCTTTAACGGTTTTGGAGATATTAAATAAAAACCATCTTCAGGGGCTTTTCTTTTGGGGGCTGTAGCTCCCTTAGGAGGCATTTCTTGACCTATGTTTATAGGGACTTTTTTTCTTATTTTTGCACGTACAATCTGCTGTTTAAGTATGGTGCACTAATTTCAGGACACCCTGTATATTAAAGAACTAATGTCATATGCTAACAAAAGCGTATACCCGCTACATAAATATATTTCCTGAATTAATGCGAACACGTTAAAGGCTCTATTGAAAAATTGCTTTTTATGACTTATCCCCTTATGCTTTTTACCCACAGATAAATTCACCAGATCTGGGAACACTGCCCAAAAATACCAAAATAAAATAAAAAAAGTTAAATAGCCAAAGGAGCCAATGCTTCTAAAACTTATTTTAATTATGAAAATCGTGAGAAATCACAATTTCTCAACAATTTAAAAAAAAACCGGTTTTAAAATATTTGTTATTTTATTTAAAATCTATATTTAAATTTTATTTTTAATGCTTTTAAATGAATAATTTTATAGATTGGTTAAAGCTACATTCGTAATGAATTCGCTGGCCGAATGGCACTTACGCTCGAAAGCTAAGCAAATGTACTAATGAAATTCGAAGTTAAAGTGGGCAAAATTTCTTGCAAGCTGCAAACTTTAACTTCGACT